GCACCTCAACGCAGCATAAGGGACACCCCGCGACCCTGTGGGGCCTCCACAGCCCTACAGCAGAATTCAGAAAGAGCTTCTACAGCTTCATACCAACAAGGCAAGTCACTCAATAGAAAAGTGGGTAAAAGCCATTTCCTAGATGAGGAAAGCAGGCTGACCAAGAAGCATCTGAAGGGAAACCATGAATTAGGGTCAAAGCGGTCCCAGACTGGCCGTGCCCCATAACCCTAGGCAGGATCACACACAAACCCTCTTGGGAGGAAGGTGACTTCCTCCTGGGCCTCAGATTCGAAGCCGCACAGTGAGGAGAGGGTGGCTGCACTCTGGAAAGTGTCAGCAGGGAGGCAAGGGAAGAGGAACCGGGTGACAGGCTCAGAAAATGGGAAGAGTCCCACAGAAATCATGCTGAGAAAAAAATAATGCTTCCCTAGGGAAGCACATGGACGGAAGAGACGGACTGAACACCCAGGGATGCTGAGCACAGAGAGGGAAGGGGACAGCACATTTCCAAGGGACAGCTGTAGCCAGGGAGGCTAGCCTGCCACAACGGTGGAGAGGAGAGGTGGGGCGGGGCAGGGTAAGGCGAGGAGAGGAGTAAGAAATGCAGAGGCAAGGCTCAGAAGGCCAGCGAGATGGACAGGGAGCTCTGCAGGAGGCTCCCAGGGATGAGAGGGAAGGAAGACTCTGAGACGGGGCTGTGGTTTCAGGAAGGAGGCAGTAGGCTGGGGTGGGGGTGCTGGCATGGGGTGCCATCAGCTGCAAAGCAAGATCTGTGGAAAACACAAGGACTTCCTAAAAGAGACATGGCATGTGGCACGATGGGGATTCAAGCAAGGCTGGAAGAAGCAAGCAGACCGTGAGGAGGAGAAACACTCCTGGCCCCAGGAGATGGGGTCAGCTGAGCGTGTGCTAGCGGGGTGCAGCCAGGCACAGCGGTTTCATGGGAGCACAGCAAGGAACCCGAGAAGGCCCCACATGCCCGCAGTTGCCTGCCCAGGGCTCCAGAGCATCCACTGTGGGCCCCACAGGGGAAGGCAGGAGCAGGACGGGTCTGGGCTGAAGGACGGGCGAAGGCTGGCCTGACCTGCTGAGAGATGAACAGAGAGGGAGGGGAAAGTCTTGTTCCTGCCAGGACATTGTAAATGGGAGGAGTGAGGTCAGAAATCGGAGCGTTTTCGGGTTTGGTGCTGACTTGCTATTGGGAATGAAAATCAAGACTCAGGTGCCATCTGGTCCCTTCTCGGGGGTAGCCGAACACCACCCCCATCCCTACTGACCTGGTGATGCCATTCTTCCTAGGCCCACTCACCGCTGCAGCTGCTTTCCTTTGACTTCTCCTCATCTGACCACAGATCAGACCTCGGCTGTTTGCTGCCGCCCAGGGAGAGTGTGCACTAATGTGCGCACTAACCCCACTGCCCAGGACACCCAGGAGAGCGGGGCAGCTGGGAGAGCTGGAAAACGGAGCCCTTACGTAGCCACCACGGGCCTCCCCGCCAGCAGCCACATGTGAGTATCCAGCTCATTAGGTGAGTTCTAGTTCTTCAAACAAGAGGCCTCGGGAGGAAGAGCAGCAACTCCCCATCCCGGGGATCCTCACTCATGGTGTGAAACCACTCCCGGCAGGTTCTGGGGTGTCCGGCAGAAGTCGGCAACCATTCTTTGGGGAAGGAGCCCAGGAGGGGATGCCAGCATGGATGGGAATTGGAACTGGTGATCTGAAGGTCCCGTGCCGCCCTGAGGCTTACATCCCATAAAGAGAGACCCTCTCCTCCTCACCTCATCTCCAGCATTCCTGCTTCCTCACGTTTCCCCAAAGAGAAGTAGGTGCATCTCACTAGAAAAGACGAGAAAGCAGCCCTTTGCTGATTCAACACTTACTAAGCAGAGACTGTGTCCTGGGCACCCAGTTTCAGAAATGAGTAAAACACCATCCTTGCCTTCAAGGAACTCAGAGAACATGCGGCAGCCACAGACTCTTATAGCGCAATTACCACCCTGGGTTCCAAGAGCCTAATGTGGGGTGGGGAGGGGAGAGGTTAAAAATGCTATCAGAACTGGAGACAAAACCCCCTAACACTGCGGTGGGACTGTGAAGGTGACATTAAAGTTGTGCCTTGAAGGAGGCCAGGAGTGCGCCAGGACAAGGCCATGGGAACCACCGCTGCAAAGCAGGGAGACCTGGGGCAGCAGGCTGCTGGCGACCTGTGACTACACTGCACAGCGTGAACCCAGGGCGTGTTCGGCTTAAGGGTGGAGAGAGCTGGGCCGACTCCCTGAGCTGCTAGGACTTCAGCCTGAGAAGGCCCGACAGGGTTTTCACTAGAGGATTGCTAGGGACAGATTTGTGACTTAGAAACTAAACTGAAAGAGTGTGGAGGACAGACTGAAGGGAGGAAAGACAGAGGCCTCCAGGTTGGTCAGGAGGCTCATGGAATAGCGCAGGCTCCAGACCACGACGCCTGAACTCAGGAAGTAGCAGCGGGGATGCAGGAAGAGGAGCAGTTTGGTCTCGTCAGGCACTGGAGAGGCACGGACCTGGAACTCGGTGATGAAGTCAACGTGGGGGACTGGGTAAGCGGAGGGACAGAGGAGCACAGCACGGCGGCGCTGCGGGACCTGAGCCCGGACTGAGATGGAGAAGAGTTTGAAAAGCAAGTTCGCCAGGGAAGTTGGGCTGTGTGTTGGGCGACTTAGGTCGGAGGGGCGGCAGGACATTAAGAGTGGGGATGCTTCTCGTCACCTGCAAAAGAGGCCTTAAAAAGACGGTCCCTCCAGACCCCATTGGCAGGCACTGACAGAGCCGCTGGGACACAGGAAAGCAGGCCTGGGGGTGCTCAGTCCTGCAAGACTCAGCCTAGAGCTGCGGGGACCTCAGACAAGTGTTCCCGCCCTTCTTGCTGCTTCCATGCCCTCGGGAGGTAGACTCTGAGAGTGCAGTTAGGTCGCTGGGGGCAAGTTTAGACTCTTGCCTAAGGGTGCAGCACAGAAGTGCCTCAGCTCCCTCCTCCAGCTCCATCCTGCTTCTCAGGCTGCACAGCCTGCCTTCTCCCACAGCTCTGCCCACAGCTTCACCCCAGTTCTGCTCCGCTCCACCAGCATCTCCGCCATCAGCTCTTCCTCCTGCAACTCCGCCCAAGCTGCTTTTCCCGCAGCTCCACCCTACCAGTTCCGACTCCTAGCTCCTTCTCCCGCAGCTCTGCCCCCAACTCCTCCTCCTCCCAGCACTACCCAGTTCTGCCCACAGCTACGTCCTCCTGTTGCAGGCGGCTCCTCCAGAATCTCTGACACAGTTCCTGCTGCAGCTCCACCCTCATCTGCTTCCTCCCAGCTTTTTCCCACAGCCCATCCTACTCCCCATGCATCTCCACTCCCAGCTCCAACTCCTCTGGCCCCTTCCTGGTTCTCCTACCCCTCTGCCCACCCCAGCATCTTTCAGCTTTCCTCCAGCTCTGCACTAGCTGCTCCCCAACAGGGCTCACACACCAGCCTTGCTCTAGCTTGGCTCCTCCTTCCCCAGCTCATTCCCGCAGCCCCGCCCCATCTCCCACAGCGCTTTGCCACAGCCCCGCCCAGCTCCTCCTCCGGAACCTCCAGGCTTTCCCTCCGCTCCACCCTGCAGCTGAGCTATGCACCAGGCCCTCCTCCTACAGAGCTTTCTCATGACACCACCCTGCACCTCCCCAGCCCTCGCTCCCCCAGGCTGGTTCTCAGGAATCCGCGGGGTGCTCCCGCAGCTGCTTGTCGCTCAGCTCTTCCACAGCCTCGCCCTGCTTCTCCCGCCAGATTTCAAAGCCCCGCCCCCAGCACCTCCCCAGTGGTCTCTCTCGGCTCCGCCCCGTCCCGAGGCCCGCCCTGTTCCTCTCAGGGCTGCTTCAAAAGCCCCGCTCCAGCCCCGACCCAGAGATGTCTCTCCCCCAGCCCCGCCCTACTCCTCCTGCGGCCGCTTCCAAGACCCCGCCCCCAGCCCGCTCCCCAGCGGTTTCTCTCAGCCCCGCCCCACCCCTCCCCTAGCCCCACCCTGCTCCTCCCAAGCCCCGCCGCCACTCCCTCCCCAGCGGTTTCTCAGCACCGCCCCGATTCCCGCCTCTCCCCCAGCCCCACCTTGCCTCTCCTGTGGGTTTCCAAAGCCCCGCCCCCATCCCCCTCCCCAGCGGTTTCTCTCAGCCCCTCCCCTCCCGAAGCACCGCCCTGCTTCTGTGGCTGCGTCCAATGCCCCGCCCCCGGAGTTGCTCTCGCCCCGCCCTTCCCCGCCCCAGCTCCGCCCTGCTTTCCTCCGGTGGCTCCGCCCAAGTCCCCGCCCCCAGGCCCCTCCCCCGCAGTTTCTCGACCCCGCCCCTCACCGAGCCCCGCCTCTTCCCAGCCCCGCCCTGCTTCTCCTGTGGGTGCTACCAAAACCCCACCCCCAACCCCTCCCCAGCGGTTTCTCTGAGCCCCGCCCCGCCCCTCCCCACCCCGAGCCCCGCCGTGCTTCTCTTGCCTCTGCTTCCAAAGACCCGTCCCCCAGCCCCTCCCCAGCGATTTCTTTCAGCCCCACCCTCCTCCTCTCAGCGGCCTCCTCCCTCCCCGCGCCGGTTCTCAGGAGTCCGCAAGCACCTCCTGCAGCCTCGCTCAGATTCCCCCACGACCCCACCCACAATGGTTTCGCCCAGCCCCCCCAACCCCGCCCCAGCGATTATCTCAGTCCCTCCCTTCCCTCCCCAGCTCCGCCCTCCTCCTGTCAGCCCCGAGCCCCCGACCCTCCCCCGTGGTTTCTCCCAGCTCCTACCTGCTGGTGTCGCAGCTCTGAGCTTAAAACTCCTGCCTGATGGCCTTGTCCCGCCCCTCTTCTTTTTCCTCCCTCCGGTTCCTTTTCCTCCTTCCGGTCGTTTGTCCAGGCTGCCGGTCTCCAGCTCCCCTGCTGGCCTGGTGGGCTAGCGGGCGTCAGGACCCGTAAACTGAACAGCGTCTCCTGGCGGCTAGTGCGTGCGTAAGTGCGTGATGACGTCACGCGTGGCTTCATGGAGAGTGGATTTCTAAAGACTTGGCTGTCTATATGCAAGGCTGAGTACGTGCCTCTTGCGTAAGTGCGTGATGTACGTACGTGCGTGATTACGCGCCCCCGTACGTTCTTCGTGAAAGGGATGACGGGAGCTGCATGAAAGCGGAAGAGTTACGGACTGTTAGCACCTGTCACTAACCCCCGGTTTCCCGGAGTCAGTGGCAGCGAGCGACCTTGCAGCCCCGACAGGAGCCCGGAGCCCTTTGTTCTCACCGCGGCCCACGTCGCTTGCGAGCCCGTCGTCCTGGCTCCGGTGACCTCGCTGGGTCGCGGGGAGGCGGAGGACTGTTCTTCTGTTACCAAAAGCCAGAGTCGGCCCTGGACGCGACGACTCTCAGGGTCCGGAGGCCATAACACCGGCCGCGGCTGAAAGGTACGGGAGCCCGTGTGCTCCGCCCTCTTGCGGACAGCACCTGAGGGCTGGGGTTTCTCTGGATGTTTGTTTGAGAACCCGTGTGGGGCGCGCCCAAGGCACCCTTTCCTGTTCCCTGCTCTCGCCAGGGTCTCAGCCCCGCTCCTTCTAAGCGTGTCTACTCGCGAAATGCGTCTGCGAGTAGAAATCCGATCCCGTGGCTCACGCCTGTAATCGCAACACTTTGGGAGGCCGAGGTGGGCCGATGATCGGGAGTTCTAGACCAGCCTGACCAACATGGAGAAACCCCCCCGTCTCTACTAAAAATACAACAATTTTAGCCGGGCGTGGTGGATCATGCCTGTAATCCCAGCTACTCCAGAGGCTGAGGCAGGAGAATCGCTTGAACCGGGAGGCAGAGATTTCGGTGAGCCGAGATCGTACCATTGCACTCCAGCCTGGACAACAAGAGCGAAACTGTGTGTTCAAGAAAGTAAAGTCCTGTGCTGCTCCACACACACCGACCCCATCTTGGCCCGGTTTCCCTGCCTCTAGCTTGCGCCCTCTGCTGTGCGCTTGCCTGGACCCGAGGCCAGGCAGTGCACAGCTCTGTGGCCTGTGGCATCGTGCTTAGCGTGACCTACCCAGAATTAAGCTGAGGGGAATGGGATGTAGAACCCCCAAACCCTCGCCCACTGACAATGCGAGGGGACGTGGCATTTTTCTCCCCTAGGGTGGAGCGTGCTCAGTTGTAGGAATGCGACTCAACTTACTGAAATGATGTTCTGCCCTGCGGGCCGGTGCACTCTGTGGTCCTTGACCTAGACAGGTGCCGAGGGTCCCACTGCTGTGATTAGCAGAACCAAACTGAGTGGGGTGCACAGGTGTGTTACTCATAAGACCGGCCCTCCCAGCTCTTCTTGGTTTCCAACGCCTTCTACTAAGTAGATGACCTTCCTAGGGCCATTAACCAGGCTTGCTGTTTTGCTCTTAATGACCTTTCCTCCTTATCTTCCTTGTTGTGCAGGTAAAGAAGCTACGTGGAAGAGTGTTTCCTCTTCAGGCCGCAAGGCAGGTACTCTCTGCAGCACCAGGTAGGAGGGGACTCCACCCCCTTCTTGCCTTTCCAGTTACATGAGTTCTTACTAGGGATTCCACACACACCCAGTTCACATTTGTTGTGATTTTGTGGTGGTGACCAGAAAAGGGTTGGCTAAGAAACTGAGCTGTGGAAAAGAGGCAAATGTTCGCTGTAGCCACATATACCAGTGGGTGTGGCCAGGCCCCGTGGGGGACATTCAGCCTCCATCAGAAGTAATCCAGAACCAAGGAACCTGGTGATATTTTGTCACCCATCAGCAGAATAATGAGGCTCAGAGCCACAAGTGTGTGAGGAAAATGGCACCATGGATGGGTTGGTGGAGTGTACACGGGTGAGTATTCCTGGAAGGCCATTTGCTGGCAGATATCAGCATCTTAGATGGGCGTGCCAGGCGGCCGAGGCATTCTCTTCAGCAGCTCTTCACACGGCGAGTGTTAGCGGAAATGTCATTTCTAGTGGCAGAAGTGGGAAGCAGCTTGTAACTCTCCATCGGTGGAGAATGGTCAGGCAAATTATGGGACGACCAACAATGGGATATCACACAGGCAGTGAAAAACAAGGTAGATGAAGATGGGCAGATGGAAAGATTGGGCTTGATGTGCTGTTAAATGGAGGAGTCATGCCCTATCCTGCGGAGATGTGTCGGGAACAGCAGTTTGCCAAGATGGATGAAGCAAAAGACCATAAAGGGGCTGGCTTAAACTCCAGACATTCGTTGTCTCGCAGTTCTGGAGGATGGGAGTCTTAAATCCAGGTGCTGGCCGGGTTCGTTGTTCTGTGGGCTGTGAAAGACGATCTGGTCTGTCCCTCTGTCTTAGCTTTGGTTAGCTGGGCGGCACCCCTTGGCTCATAGAAACATCTCCCTTGTCTCTGCCTGTGTTTCCTCATGGCGTTCTCCCTGTGTGCATCACTGTCTCTGACATCCCCCTTTTCATAAGGACGCCAGCCACGTGGCATGTGGGTCAACCCTAATGACTTCAGTTCTGCTTGATCACCTCAGTAATGACTCTGTCCTTATGTATAAGGCCACATTCTGAGGTGCGGGGTTTAGGACATATGGGTTTTAGGAGAACACAATGCAACCCATCACAACGAGAAAAGCCCTGAGGTAGAAACAAGCTTGGCATGTTCCCTCAGGGGATGGAAGGCCTGAGCGGCTGCAGGGTGGTGAATACAGGGGAGAGGAGAGGACATGGCTGGGGCGGGAAGCCTCTGAGGCATCTCAAGAGGCTATGACTGGGCTGATGTTCTGGCTTCCAGCCCATGGCTCCTTCTGAAGCACAGGGCGGTACTCCATGCAGGAGGAGGGGACCCTCTCCCAAGGTACACACACAGAAGGCAGGGACCCAGGCAAGAGGCGTGAGAAGTCAGAGCGCATGTGACTGTGGGCCGGCGCCTCATTCTCCTGAGCCATAGACTGGGCCTCACAGTAGCACTGACCCTGCTGGGTTACTTGAGGATTAAATTTGGTGATCCAAGGATCATGCCATCCCAGAGGGTGGCATGTGGAAGCCATGTGTGTGTGTGTGTGGGGGGGGTGGCAGTTGTTCTGATTCTCATTCTTTATTCAGCTCGGATCGGGGACAGGGGTGTCTGCTGACATGGAGTGCAGTGGTCAGGGAAAGGGCTTGAGGAAGGTGGCACCCAGAGGGGTGGGGAGGAGATGTCTGACTGAGGACCGTCTGAGGTCATGGTGCATCCTGAGAGCAGAGCTGAGATTGGATATCAACGATGTGGGCTCAGCAGCCCTGCAGTAGGAGCCGGGAAGGTCAGTGCCTTGGTGGCAGCAAGGCCAGGGCACTGAGAGTACTGGCGGGGCAGAGTAGGGGGAACAGAAGAGAAGCGGAGCCTGGGACTGCCCTTCTGTGCTGGAAGACGGCTAGCACAAGCCCCGCCTCTCCACTCTGTCTAGGCCGAGGGGGCCCTCTGTCCTCTGTGTTCCCTAGGGCTTGGTGACCTCTGTCATCGCACCAACCATGCGCTATCTGGCCTGTGCCTTCCTCTAGCTGCCCTGCCCTACTCCAGACCTCCCCAAAGACTCCATGAGATGGATCTGAGTCAGCCGAGTCCCAACCCCTCTTCTAGGGCCTGCCGTGGCACTGGACATCAGTGACTGCGTTGTGACACACGGAAGCAGTGGACCATCAAGGTCAGTGGGATTTAAGGGACCTGGGAGACACGGGGGAAAGGTCAGGACCACTGCCAGTGAGCTTGGAGGGCTGGCGTGTGATGCGCTTCTGTGTTTCCGCAGGCCACGGGAGGCCCCGGGAGCTTGCGAAGATGAAGTTTGGCTGCCTCTCCTTCCGGCAACCTTATGCTGGCTTTGTCTTGAATGGAGTCAAGACTGTGGAGACGCGCTGGCGCCCCCTGCTTAGCAGCTACCGGAACTGTACCATCGCCATCCACATTGCTCACAGGGACTGGGAAGGTGATGCCTGGCGGGAGCTGCTGGTGGAGAGGCTCGGAATGACGCCTGCTCAGATTCAGGCATTGCTCCGAGAAGGGGAAACGTTTGGTCGAGGAGTCATAGCGGGTAAGTGACGATGTGCCAAATGTGCAGGCAACTCCTGGAGCTGCCACCCGAGATCTTGCTTGGGAGTGTGGGGCCTTCTGTTGTCGTCTGAACTGATTGGCATGTACACACCACAGTTTCCTTTGATGACAAACCTCCAAATGGGCGGCAAGGGCCCTGGGCTGGGGGTTTGCAGGCCTAGCTTCCGCATGCTCTGCTGAGTTGTTTCTCCACTCTGGGCCTCAGTTCCCGTTTGTGATCTCAGTGAGAAGCCGGGTCAGGTCCCTGTGCACATGGTGCATGTGGTGTTTGGGGTGTGTGTGTGTGTGTGTGTGTGTACGTGCGTGTGGGTTGCACATGTCTGCCAGAGACCAAGAGAAGCAGCTCAGCCAGCCGAATGGGTCAGGTGGCCTCTAGAGTTGGGCTATCTGCCTGGCTTCACAAGCCTGCCCCAGCCCCATCGCTCATGGCACCCTGGGCGAGTCCCCTAACCTCTGAGTGATTGAGTTCTGACATCGGCACGTGTCCCCTGATGACCTGTGTAGGCATCACCTGTAGGTTCCTAGGCGGTAGCTGGTGCCCTTCCAATCTGCAACGGCTGCCCTCAGCAGTCTGGCTTGGACCCCGCCTCTTACTTGTGTGGCTTCGCTGAGGACAAGACCCTCTCCTCTGCCTTTCTGGAGCCTCCCCACTGCCTTTCCCAGCATTCGCTGAATCGAGTTTGGTTGGTTTATCAAAGCTGTGGGAAAAAGACTCGACCCCCGTCTTGTCATTTGCTGATGCCGTCTTACTTTCTATTGGTTGTGACTTTGAGTAACTGTGTTGTCACACAGGCAGGCCTTGGGCTATGGAAGTGCAAAGCATTCATGTGTGTCTCTCTCTGTGTACAGGACTCGTTGACATTGGGGAAACTTTGCAGTGTCCCGAAGACCTAACTCCTGATGAGGTTGTGGGACTAGAAAATCAAGCGCTACTGACCGGCCTGAAGCAGAAGTACCTGACTGTGATTTCAAACCCCAGGTGGCTACTGGAGCCCATACCTAGGAAAGGAGGCAAGGAGGTATTCCAGGTAGACATCCCAGAGCACCTGATCCCTTTGGGGCATGAGGTGTGACAAGTGTGGGCTCCTGAGAGGAGTGTTGCAGGGAACCCAGCTAAATCATGATTTCAGTTCACCGTCAGTTGAAACCAGCTCCAGCTAAATCATTTAGCTGCTTTCAATTCACCATCATGTTGCAGACCTACATACATTAGGCTAGATCTGAATTTCCCCTGCTTTGGAGAGCCCCAGCCACTAAGCACTGTGCATGGAAACAGGTTTCTTTGCTCAGAGGAAGGAAGTAGGGGTGAGGCTTTCCTTGTGTGATGCCTCTTTAGGCACACAGGCAGTGTCTCAAGTACTTTGTCCTTTGGGTAGAAGGAAAAGCTGCCAGTAAATGTCTCGGCATGGCTACAGTTTTGGTCCTGCTAATTCCTGGATTATACAAATAAATGTGTTGTAGATGACTGGTTATGAGGCTCCATTCTATGTCTTCCCCGTCTTTGTTCCGGTCAAAACTCATCAAACCTAGCATCCAAGCGACACTACAGAAAGTCGGACCTGGCGGTGAATGTTTGCCTGGTAGTGAGCAGCCATTAATGGACTGACTCATCCAGGATGGAGAGGACGTCAGACAAGAGCAGCTGTCTGCCCTTCAGGTTACTCTCACTCTCTTGTGAAAGTGTCTGTCAGTTTCTGAAGCATGTGTGTCATCTGCATCACACAGCTACTTCATATCCGAGCGGTGGCCCTTCTCTTGCGAGCCAGGATGTTACAGTGGTCATACATCCCTTGACAAATGGGGTGGCCTGACTCAGGGGGCCCCAGTAGGCTAGGCTAGGGATGCTGACCTGCTGGTCAGACACTTCCTGGCAACATTGGGAGGGACCCATGGGGAAGACTCTCCCGTTTAAAGATACTGCCAGGATCAGGAGTGGGGCTGTTCTTCCCCCTGAGCAGCAGGCAGATCTCAGGGGAGCCAGTCTTCTTGGGCTTGGCCTTGACGCTTCCTAGCAACATCCTTTGCTGGGTGTGTGAAAATGCTGCTTCTCCAAATGTGGGGACCAAAGCCTGTCTTGGACAGAATTTTCAGCCTCTTCTGGCTTGTGCCAATGAGATGCGTACAGTATAGAAGGTTAGAAGAGCACAGACAACAGTTCTCATTTAAATTGTTTATTATTATTATTTCCATGGAATCTTGTTTATTAAGACCAAAAATGTGTTTCTCATTGGAAAATGGCAACCTTTATTGGGCATTAGTGGCCTGTGAATTCATGGATTTGGATTGTTTCTGAACTGTTCACAGAGTGGACAGTTGCAGCCTGAGGAGCCTTTCTGCTCCTCCTCATCGTCGGGGGGCTCGTTTGGAGTCATGGGCAAGAGGGAGGCCGACAGAATGGAGTGGCAGTCACTGTACAAAAATATTACACTACTGTTATCTGGGTAAACCAGGCTACGAGGCACTTTCCTTGTGCTTTTCATCCAGATAGTAGCCGAAGATGCACGTATGACATTTTCAGAGGTGCCCTCCCAATTTGGGTCATTTGGTTCCTGAGGGGGCCCAGATCCCGGGGGATGCCCAGTGATGGTGTTCTTGGGCCACATACCAGCGTATGTGAAGGACTGGGTGCCACTGGGTCCCTGAACATTGGGGCTTCCCCCCTGGGACATTCTGATGGCTGCATCCTTGGCATCGCTGTGATGGATTTGTAGGGGGTGTCCTATGGCTACCAGCTTCAGCCTCTTTGCAGCTGGACGTGGGTCGCTTGCTGAGTGGCTTTCGGAGGTTACCTTTTCTCCGGAATGTTCTCCAGGAGCCAGGGCTTGCCTCTCTGAAAATTGGAGTTGTGGTAGATCTGAAACAAAATGAAGTATGTTAGTTGTTCCAGGAAAAATTATTCCTTTCCTACCTCCCAAAATTATGATCTTGTTTTGCAGTGGAGAAAAGAATGCTTTAAGTGGCAGCAAGTGTGGTATGCCCTACAGCATGACCTGACTAGAGATAAACAATTCATAGGTCAAGGTGGTAATATATAAATAGTATGAATCTAGATATTAACCTGCAACCCCCTTGAGGTAATATGCAGGTCTGGATAATATGTTCCTTTATATTATCTTTCAGGGAATTGTAGTTTAATGTCAAAATTTATACTTTTAAAATTGTATAGTTTGCATCTTTCGATAAACAAATTCCTCACATTTAAAAAAGTATCTTTGACAGTTAACTCTTTTACAGTATATAATTTGTACTGGTGTCCTATGAAGATGTTTGGGAAACAAAGGCAAGGGATTACAGAAATGCTTTCTACTTTACCATCATATTGTTGTCTCTTGGCGAGGTGCTTGGGCGTATTTTACGGAAATCCATAGAGGGTATTTGGCGAATGAAACTCTTCAAGCTCTCTGTTTTGAAGATCTTCTCTGCGCCTCTCCGTTTGAAGAATCTCCCTCTGGAAGAGATCCTTCTCGATGATCATAGCATCTCCATCATGGTTCCAGCTCAAAGACTGGAATGTGTCTTCCTCCACCATCATCCAGAGCTTTCTTGGGAAGGAAAGGCTAAAAAGGTTGCGGTTGTCTTCCATGATGGCCACGCGTTGGTTTTGGTCATCTGACGGTGGGTATCTTGGGAACCTGAGTCTTGGCTCACGGCTTGGTCGTCGTGCCTGTCCAAAACCTCCCTGGAATCCAGATTTGGATCAGGTGATGAACTAGATGGGCCCCCACTTGTTGGTCTTCTCCACCAACAGATGGGGCCAGCTTGGCTTCATATTCCTGTTGAGTATTCTGACTCGCCATGGAGCTACACCAGAATCGGGAGCATTTGGTACCCAGACCCTTATCACTGTCCTAGCAAGTCCAAAATGCCCTTCAGTGGGAGTGAGGGGTGCCCAATACATACTGTCCACAAAATTCTAGAGTCTCGGTATCAGGGCAACCAGCTGCTTAAGTCATCATCTGCTTTATTTTTCACATGATGTCACAAAGGTGGCTCTCAGCCAATCTGGAGAGGGGGCCCTGGCCAGATGTTGGGGGAGGAAACAGGTAGCGTAGCTTTCAGCTTCTCCCTTTTCTAAAAGTGTCTCCACAGGCCTGGTTTAAGCTCCCAGAGAGTCTCCCGTCTTCTGACAGGCACATTGCATCATAGGGCCAGGCCCCAGATGAGCTGAGGAACCATGACTCTATGGCCATTCCCACCCCTGAAGACAGGGGAGGCCTTTTGCTAGCCTCTGATTTGCTCAAGAGTCGGCCCCTAGTCAGCCCTAGCTTGGGTTTCACCAAGACTGCCTGAGTCAGATGGGCCCCGCACGGGTGACTGCCTTCTAGGAGATGGTGGTTCCCTACCAGGCTGTTTGGCCTGGTCTGTGTTACTAGCACCCCTCTTTTACAATCCCCCCCATCTCCTTCCTGCTTAGTCTCTTCCAGGTACTCCTAATGATTGGTGGATCGCGCCGGTGGGCCCAGATAAAGTGTTTCTCATTCCACTTGATGGAGTTGTCCCCAGAGGGGTGCCGTGCTTAAGTATGGTGGGAGCACTCCTCTCACTCCTCTACCATGGTGTTACCCAGAGCACCATTTGTGGTTGGATGGCCACATCCTCAGCTATGCTTTGGAGCCTCCTGTGGAGCTCTGCTTGCCCTGCATCTCTCTCTCTCTCTCTCTCTCCTCTCTCTCTCAGATCACAACAGGAGATTACCTTAGTTTCTATTTTTGCTCATAAATAAATACTGTTATCATTGCCCAAGACATGCTCATTTCTGAGGCCCGCTGTACACAGACGATCCTAAGAAAAGTTCCTACTTGTTTAGTTAGACCTGATTAAGTAATCCAGCACAAAAGTGCCATCATTGTGTATTTGAAAATAGATGAGAATATGGAGTGTGTGTTGGGTGGGCAGGAGGAAGGAGAAAAGCTAAACGAAAGTCATCTTCAACATCAGGTGAGAGGATACGACAGTCTTTGGTTGATACGCCTTCTCTAGCATTCAAGACAACTTTGTTCTTAATACTCACTCTGTACAGGGAGACAGGGTGATACAGTGGAAAGGCCCCAGGCTGAAAGGACCCTGGGCCCTTGTCCCATTGAGTAGCACCCTTTGCCCACTCGGGGTCAGCCCTGGGTGCGAAGAGGCTGGGAGGAGTCTCTCCCAAGGTGCCTTTTAATCTCAGGGCTAATTTTTCATAGCGCCCCCGTGGATGGAGGCAGGTTTGGATCGTGGTCATCATGCTTCTTAAACAGCGTTACAAAGGTTTTGTTCAAGGACTCAATGTAACCGCTAGGTACACATACTCTAAGGCTAAATATTAAAATACTGGTGACATCTCTAAAGGAGGATCCTTGAGTATTCAGTTACACAGCTGGCATCTTTCATTTACATACCAGAGTGCTTTTTCATAGGGGAGTCTTAACACTGCAAGTGATACTTAGTTGTGGCTTTTGTGACCTCATGAACCCTGCTGATTTACTTTTATAAGAGCCTTTGGCCATTAGGTGGGAGGGGAACAATCATGAAGAAAATCACTAGGGAAACTGCACGGTAGCACTCAGCCAAGAGCTGGTATTGATTTGATTTAGTCACGCTGTGTCATGTGGCTTCTGTAGGACCATTACCCACCATGCTCCTTGGTTTTAAGTCACAGAATGTCCCACTGGGATTACAAGTCTAAGACATCAAGCTCTCTTATCCCCTGGAGGGAATATTTAGGGTACTGACTTAAATCTAGTCAAGAAGAAGTCATGGGAAGGCTGGCCACTGGCTGAGCCTGCTCAGTCCTCAAAGTTCAGCTTTGCAACCTTCAGCAATCATTCAGACAGTCTCTATGAGTCACCTGCCACCTGCAAGCCCCTTTGAGGAAGATGGTTGGTCTTCCCTTCCTTGCTGCAGAGGCCCCTGAGATGGACCCCCGCATTGCTGCTTTATGAATAGAATGATCATGGTCAGACGACCCAAGCAGAGCACAGCTGACTAGGGTATGAGGAGCAGTGGCCCTGTGGAAAGCAGTCTCAGTGCTGGCTGACTTGCTGAAGCTTCTTTGTAACTGTGCAGTGATCTAGAGCAGCGCTGAGCTCTTGACATTGGGGCCCCAGGGCATGAGGCCAGCCGCAGGGCAAGACTCGCTATGTAGGCCTTGCTGTCACATGATCCCCCAGGCCCTTCCTCATCGTACCCTGGCCTTTCAGGAGCTTCTTCCTTGCTGATCTCTCCTAGGCTCTAGGATGTGTCCCTGCAGTTGGTTCATCCTACTCCAGAGGAGTCTTTCTTTCTTCTTCTTCTTTTTTTTTTTTTCCGCTTTAAGTTCTGGATACGTGTGCAGATTGTGCAGGATTGTTACAAAGCTCTACACATGCCATGGCGGTTTGCTGTATCCATCCCCCTGTCATCTACATTAGGTATCTCTCCTAATGTTATCCCTCCCCAATCCCCCCACCCCCTGCTATCCCTCCCCTACCCCCCCCACCCCCAAAC